GGGCCTATACTCTGAGCTGTATCTTTAGCCCCACCTATGAGCAATCTGTTTTATATTTTTGTACTAGGGATTGAACCCAGAACCTTAACAGCAAACCAGCTCTTTTAATTTTCTATTTTGAGAATAAATTGCCCAGGTTAGGTTCAAAATTGGGATCCTCCTGTCTCAGCTTCCCAGATTGCTAGGGTTATATGTGTGCCAGTGCCACCATGCCTGGCCTGTGAGCAATATTGAAAATTAGTTGACATCTACTTCTGGGACAAGGACAAGCTAATGTCACTGCTTGCTATGGAAACAGTAAATTCTCCACGCTTAGTATTCCCAGCTGCAAAGCACATCCATTGGCTGGCCCCCTTCATGTTACCCATGTAGGACTTGTGGGTAAGATGAACTTCTAGAAACACACTGATGCTCATGGGTAGTTTTTTTCCCCCTTGTTGCTGCTGTTTGTTTATTTTATTTTTTCTGATTCAGAGATCTCATGTTGAAACCAAAGGAAAGCCTAAATCAGCTTCATGTGTGGTTGTTTGCTCTGTGTGTGTGTGTGTGTGTGTGTGTGTGTGTGTGTGTGTATGCATGTGTGTTCCTGGGGTTAAATGCAGGGACTTTGCGCTGTACTATATCTCTAACACTTATTTTGTTTGTTTGTTTAATATCTGAGATAGGATCTCACTAACTCACTAAATTGATCTCCTGCTTTGGCTTCCCAGAGTAGTAGGATCACAGCAGTGCACCACCATGCCTGGCTACTTGCTTTTTATTTATTTTTTTTTCCCGAACCATGGATTGAACTCAGGCCCTTGTGCTTGCCAGGCAAGCACTTATTCTACTGAGCTATCTCCCTAGCCCCTTGGCTACTTGCTTTTGGTTGACCTTAACAATCACTAATTGAGGTCGGGTGTAGTGGTGCATGCCTGTAATCCCAGAACTTTGGAGGCTGAGGCAGGAGGATCATGGCAAGTTCAAGACCAGCTTGGGCTACAAAGTGAGCTCAAGGCTAGTTTAAGCTGCACAGCTAGACCCTGTCTCAAAAAAACCAAACAAACAGAATCACTAATTGAGAGGTGACGCCTAAGCAGTGTGTTATTAGTCTCTCACTAGCTTTGCTGTAAGTAATACCTCTGATACGTGGGTCAGAATGATAATAATTTCCTAGGGTTTTTTTCAGGAAATTGACCATTTTTGTCAAAATCACTTTATTTGAGCTTGCACAAGTGTGTGATATAGGTAACCTTTTGATTTCAGGAAGCAAAAAACTATCACTGGTGTATGATAATGTCACCGTTTTCTCAGCGTCAATTCCATGAGGAGTCATGAAATTTGAGAATACATGAATAGAGCACTAATCATTTCCAATCAACTTTCTTTATAGTTTAAATCACCCTGTTTCTTTTTTTGTTTTTGAAACAAGGTCTCCCTATGTAGTCCAGGCTGGTCTTGAACTCTGTGTAGTCTAGACTGGGCTGAACCTCACAGTGATCCTCCTGCCTCAACCTCCTGAGTGCTGGGATCTCAGGGGTGTGCCACCATGCCTGGCTTCACCGTTCTTTTTTTATTCCATAAATATCCCTCAGCCCTATGCTTGGAAAGGCAGATGTGAGACTTGGGTCTGCCCCTTCATGCTCAGCTGCTTATTTGCAAACTTTATTATCTCAGTGATTGGCATACTGTTTGGCAAGAAAAATGGCCCCCATTCAATAACAATGTCTTTTAGCATCCATGAAACAGTGATGAGCTAACTTGTTGACTTTTAAGTAGGATAAAATCAAACCGCAGACCTGACAATTTGACTCAACAGGATAACTTTGGAATTGTGTACAGCTCTGTGAGATCAGTATTCATTTAAAACATCTACGTACATATGATACATTTTACTTAACAAACATTTATGTGCCAGTTATAGGTTTGTGGATATAAACTCATTTAATCATAAGGTAAGTGGTATGGTTTGGATTAAAAAAAAAAAAAACAACAACCCTGTGTCTCAGTTACTCTTCTCTTGTTGCTTAGACAAGTACCCAACACTCAAAATTAGGGAAGGAAAAGTTTATTTAGCTCACAGTTAGTGGGGGTGTTAGTCCCTACTCAGCTGGCTCCAAGGCAGAGTGGCATGTGGTGGCACAGAGCCATGCGGTGGCAAAGAGCAACAGCCAAGGGAGGAGTGGCAGCAGCAACAGCTTCAACTGCAACAGAGAGCAAATCTTTCTCCTCCTGATCTGCCCCAGGCTGGGTGTAGCACTCACACCCATAATCCCAGCAGTGCTCAAACCCATAATCCAAGCCTAGATCATGAATTAATCACAAACTCTAGAACCATGCTCTATTGACTGCATGAGGCTGGGGGGGAACAAATACACACAAACCATAACACCCCAAAGATTCATGTATTCAAAGGAAGGCTTTTGGAAGATAATTAGATCATGGGGACCCTAATCTCATCAATGGATTATTATATGGATGAATTATAATTATAATGAATTATAATTATTAGCTGAATGTGTTTTTTAGAAGGTGGGGCATGGTTGGAGGAGGTGGGTCACAGGAGTGTAACCTAGAAAACTGACAGTACAGGAGGTACTATTTAAAGTTCCCTTAGGTGGGGAAAAAAGAGATGCAAAGGTATTTAGTATCTTTCCCTAAGTCATATCATTCATAAATATGAGTCTTCTTATTCAAATAGAAACAAATGCCAAAACTTGACCAGAATTCTTTGACTACGGTTATGGTTTGTGTCTAGTTATCCCCCAAAGCCTCATGCAGTTGTTAGGCAGACTTCTAGAGTTTGAGATTAACTCATGATCCACTGGGATTATGGGTTTTAGTACTGCTGGGATTATGGGTGTGAGTGCTACACCCAACCTGGGGCATGTAGCCTGAATGTAACATAAGAAAGAGAGACAGACTTCCTCTCTGTTGCCATTGTTGCTGCTGCTCTTCCATTTTGCTCTCTTGCTCTTTGCCACCGTCTTGAAAGGATGCTCTCTGCCCTGTGCCACTCTGCCTTGGAGCCAGCAGAGTACGGACTGAAACCTCCAGTAACTGTGAGATAAATAAACTTTCCCTTCCCTCCTTTTGGGTGTCGGGTATTTGTCCCAGCAATGAGAGAACAGTAACTGAGACATCTTCCCATACCCCTCCCTCTTATCCTTACCTGTTCCTTTTCCCCTTCCTTTTCCTCCCCTTTTTCTCTTCCTTCTTCCCTTCCCCTCCCTTCCTTAAAATTCAAATAAACATGTTGCTGTAATAATGAAATTGTCTTATTGTACTGTATATATATCATCTCAGACTTTTGGTTAATGATTTTTACTTTTCATACCACACTCAAAAGTTTGAAACTGTTAGCATTATTTGCTTATTTTCCTTTTTTTTTTTTTTTGTACAGCAGTTACAGACATTTATTTCATAATAAGAAAAGTACAACCATATTTATTAAACTCAAGGTGAGGTGGGCAGGAAAGAGGGGGAAGCATATTTGAGAGTATGTTCTCCCATGAATGCTCAGTACCAGCATCCAAGAGAAACGGATGAGAGGGACACCCCTCTCCCAGCCAGCGGAGCCCTCCAGCCCTAAAGATGAGCAGCAGGCTGGGCAGCCCACCTGCACCTGCACCTCGCCCTGCCAACTCCCTCCTTGCACCTATCCCAGTTTCTTTTTCCACCCTTACTTCACAGAGGGCATTCTGGGAAAAAGGAGTCGCGACCATCACCTATAAGTTACTCAGAGTTTGAAGCGATCCTTATAAGAAGAAGAATATTAGGAGTGGTGGGAGGCAGGAAGATGGGATTGGAGGGCCCCCTAAAATCCAAGGGAAGGAATCCCATTTCTGTCCTCAAATAGTTTCATTAATTATGCCGTAACCTAAAAATAAAAGTGAAACTACAACAGGCGCTGCGTAAGACTAGTACTTGAAAACTGGATAGAAGGACCTGAAAGATGTATTCCATCATTCATGTTCTCACCTTTGTTCTCTCCTTTCTTTCTATGTAAAAGCTCCAACACCATTAAGGTATATTTAGTCTACTAATTTCTTACTTTATTCTTTTGGGCTCTAAGGTATCAGCTCTTTTTTTCAATCTAACATTTCGTGTGCTTGATACTGGGGGGTAAAGAGAAAGGAGGAAAGAAAACACCAATTTTGAGACCCAGTCCTAGCCCAGGTCCGGTGAGTGTGCGGAGAGTTTCCTGCTACCCTGCGCCGGTGGGACCAGTCCCAGCCCAGGC